CAGCAGAGACACACGTGTCAGAGAGAACTGACACCCATAGAGTTTTCAATGACTGACTTCTCAGCAGTAACTCACCAGCCCTTTCTTTTAAGGCATTTCTGAATGAACTCAAGCCTCCAGCCTTCAGTTCATAAGAATTGAGATAATCTCATGCATTTCCTTGACAGGCATTTACTAAGGCCTACTGTGTGTTCCTGTGATACTGGTGCAGGGGGAGTAGAAGGTTTCCTGTTAAGGAGTTCACAATCTAGCCAAGAAGAGAGACACATACATAAAATAATAAAGATGAATAGTGTAATAAGAGAATAAGCCATGCATAAAAGTGCTACAGGGGAAAGGAGAAGGAAGCAATTATTCTGCTTGGGATAGAACAGGGCAAACTCCAAAGAGAAGTGAGACCTCCCTCAGCCGAGTCCTCGAAGAAGGCTGTTTACCAATAGAGAAGTGGGAGCGATAAAGCAAGGAATGTCTAAGGAGCAGGAATGAGAACATTTATAGAGCTGAGTGTGACAAAGCATTGGGTACGAGAGACTGTGGCTTAACTCAAGGACTCATGTTAGAAAAGTACCAAAGTACCAGAAAGGACTCAAGGCTGTCTCAAGAATGTTATCACTATGTCATTTTAAAATTGATCTGTTGAATTCATGATCTGAAACTTAAATAATGTATGTACCACATTTTAAAGGAAAAAAATACTGTGTGTGTGTGTGTGTGTGTGTGTGTGTGTGTGTGTTCATACATTCATGAGACAGATACAACTCCCAGTTTGAGAAGCAATGCCATGAGCAAAAAGCAGGGCAGCAAGGGAACTAAGCCTTATTCAGGTTTTAAAGTTCTTCAGCTAGCAGCATCTGGCCCGCCCTTAGAAGGAACTCAGTCAAGGTCTATGGAATTGAATTGAATGCAAACGAGGAGATGCTTTGTAAGGTTCTCTGGCAATAATGAAGAACTTGACTGTAGGTGGTGGAAGTTCTTGTACTATTCAAGGTAAAACACAATCAGAGTCTGAATCATAGGCCACTTGGTAGGAACAGAGAGTATTATTAAGTGGTATGTGCAGAGTGGACTCAGGGAGTTGGTTTCATCTCACATCCTATTAGGTGAATAGAAGTTCCTCTAGCTGTGGTTTCTTCCTCCCTTCTCCTCATCCCCTCTCACTCACTCACACTTCTCTTCTTCCTCCCCCCTCCACCAACACCCAGCTTCCTGTTTTTAAGAAAAACAGTGTCAGACTTTGAACTTAAGATCTCTTGCTTCTCCCCACGCAAAACAGTTCAGCTATCTATCAGTTCAGCTCTCTATCTATCTCCGAAAGCTTCAACTTAAATGAAAAGGACAGTCTTGATCTGTGGTATTTGGGAAAAATTATTTTAAGAGTATGTCCAGAACTGGAACTCTTGCCTTTTCAGCCCAGTTCGGGCTTTGATTTTCTTCCAGTTGAGCTCTGTGATTTGAAACTCCAACCTTACTGAGGCACTCACCACAATCATTCTATTAGAACCCTGAAGATTGAGGACATCAGCTTCCACCACTGTTGCTTCCACTCCCCAGGTTGGTGCTGGTGGGCCTTTTGGATGCAAGGATCCCTGCAAGGATTTCATTGCTGTGATTTCAACCTTCAGAGCAGGAATAGTTCAGGCAGAAGACAATGTGAGACTTTGAACATTGGGCAGTACAAAAAAAAAAGGGCCTAGGGCACAGCTGAATTCTAAGATCTGAAAAGTGGCATCACAATCCAGAGACAGCACTGCAGAGGATTGGCTGTGAGCTTGCAAGCAACCTGTGCTAGGGCAGACAGATGAGCTGTGGGCTAGTTGCCTCTGCAGTGAGTGTTCTGGAGAACAGAGCAGAGCAGAGCAGGAGGAAAGCACACAGAAGCAGGAACTGAAGTCCTCAGACCAGCACTGGGTGTGTATACCCCAAACCTTGCTCCATTTTCCCCTTGCTACTCTACTCGCTAAGCCCTGGGATGAGGGTGTGATTGACTAGAGGTTAGAGTTGGGCCTGTGTCAGTGCCTCTGCCCACTTACTGTAACACTGGGCTTCAGTACGAGGAGAACTAGGGCTCAGACCAGGAAACTACATGCCCCATTTGCAACAACTTGGCAGCTACTTTCCTGTCTGCCACGGGGAGTCTGGGAAGGCAGAGCTGTGGAGAAGCTCCAGACTTGGGTGGCCCTTAATCTGCACCAAAGGGGATATCCTGAATTGTCTTCGATTGCAACCTGAATGGAAAAGTAATCTGTGGTTGGGCTAAAACACAAAAATAGTTGGAAGAAGACAAATATTGGATTAAAGTTAATAGGGAGAAAGGAGCTATGATGTAGAAAGCAAAAACTCCCAGAGACAGAGACTGTGAGACACTTAAAAATATTATCATGGACAAGTCTGTTTTCTTCCCAAATTATAGAAAGGTCTGTCCTGGAGAGGGTGAAACCAGGCTACTACCTGGAGGCAAAGATTTTGAGGCTCTGTCTCACATACGTTGGGCATGTGAGCAGGAAGGACCAGTCCTTGGAGAGGGACATCATGTAGGAAGGGTGGAAGGACAGCGCAGGAAAGGAAGACCCAGGATGAGATGAATTGACTCAGTGACTGGGGAAATGGGATTAAGTCTGTTGCAGACAATGAGAATGGCTCAATATAGGGCAGGGTTCAGAGCTAATGTACTTAGGGTTGCTATGAGTCACATGGATGGCAAATAACAACTACAAGACTTTAACCAGGAGGGTTTGATTGTACTCTGCATGATAAGAGTTTAAGAAAAGGAAAAGTCCTGGAGGTGCAGAAGGAAAGCTGAACCAGAAGGCAGCCTGGTTTAGGACCCGTGATTGACAATTAGCAGGCCACTCTGGGGAACGCAACAGTCATACCAGTTACTCCAGAGCTTTTAACAGTGGAAGTCTTTGTCCATCTCTTTATCTGTCCCAGAGCCTTGCGGTTACTGTGGATGCCAAATCCCTGACTCTTGCTGCTCACATGAGACACTAGGAAAAATATTAATAGCAGGAGGCACTTTTAAAAAATTATATTTGGCAAAACCTTTTGCTTTTGCAAGGCCTCGCTGAGTAACACAGGAAGTAGAAAGGGTGGGGGCGCCCCCTGGCTCCCATGGTTAGAAGACTCAGCCAAATAAGATCAAAACAGGAGTTGTGAGATACCACTTCCTGCCTTCCCCAGCCGTCTTGAAATCGTAATACTCACTGAGGAGAACAGACCTCAGAATAGTGGTCCCCCTCTGTCCCGAGGCACTTGTAGACCAGAAACATGATAAGGGTTGGAAACATACAGGCCACTTGGCTGAGAAGGACCACAGTCACAGGCAGGCATGAGGGGGTGTTGAATTTCTAGACCTGATGAATTGTTCCACTGCCTCTGGCTGGGGAAAACCCACAGCAGAGTATGAAAGCCAGTTACTGCTAAAGAGGCCCCTGGCCCTTTTTCTGGAAAACTCGCCCTTGGTAACTCTTTCCCCGCCCTCTGTCACCCACTCGCTCTCTGGGTAGAGGGAGAGCAGAGTCACAGCTGACCTTGTATTGTGTTTCTGAGGCCGTAAATCGCTCAGGAGACTGCTCATCATTCTCACTTGGAGCTGTTGGTAGATTCGAACCACCAGAGAAGTGTCGCCTTTGTGTTAGCACTTCAAGTCTCTTCTTGCCATGCCAGCAGATCTCCCCTCTTATACACATGTTACTGTTGTTGTTGTAGCTGACCCTCTCTCCAGTGGATTTTCAGACACAGTAAATCGCGTGGAAGGAGACTGCCCACCCTTCTGCGGAGCAGCTGGTGAATTTGAACCACGGGTCTTTGGGATAGCAGCACAGTTTCTTATCAGTAGGCCACAGGATCTCTCATACATATTCGGACCTTAAATAAGCAGGCTGAAAGAGCAAAACCTTGTATGTGAGAAATAGGACAAGCCCCCAGGTGGTATGAAGAATAAAGCAGCAGGAAGGAGGTCATTAAATATTCAGCTGAAATACTGAAAAATCAAGACACAGATCATGACTCTTCCTGCCTACCTCTACTCTCGCCCTTAGTACTAGGGAGCTCTGGTGGCTTAGTGGTAAGAAGTCATACCAGCAATCCAAAAGTACATGGTGAAAATCCACCACCTACTCTGTGGAGAAAGATGGGCCATCTTCTCCCATGCAATTAACCTTCCTCTAAAAACGTGCTGGAGGGTCAACTATGAGTTGGTTCCAACTTTATGGTACATAACAATACTCTTAGTACCAGCAGACTTCTTGGAATGTCCACAGCATTAGACAGACCTGGCTTATATATAAACCTGGCTTGCTGAGAAGTCCTCTTCCTGACCCTCCTCTCAAATATCTCTCTCTCCATATCTTCCTTTTGCATGATGGGTGTTGAGGGAGGGAATGCAGACTCACCCTAGGATAGTTACAGAAAGTGGGAGGAGGCACTTACCCAGGCCCAGCACAAACCTTCTAGGCATTCACACCCAGACCTATACTTGAGAAGAAAAGTCCATGTTCTAAGCCCCAGACTGAGGTGAAGTACCTCTCTCAGAAGTACCTATGCTGGGTAGAGGGAGTGAGGGGATAACAGGATCATTTAGAAGCTTTTGCTCCGTGGGCTCCTTTTCACAGTATTCTGAGTCCTATTACCATGAACTTCAAAGTCCAAAAATGATTTTAAGCCTGATCTTTCCCTTTTCATGTTGCAGATACAATGACAGCAGGGCCTTAAGCACACAGAGATTGGGAAGCTCACATAGGATCATTCGGGGTCTTGCTGTATTGTACGTACATATTAGTATTCTATGAGCAGGAACTAACCAACAATAACAAATGAAAAAAAATACCCTCTTCTGTCCAAACATACCCTGTCATCCTTCTTCCTCCTACATCTGGGAAGAATTCTGTTTCACAGACATTTTTGAAGCGCCCACTGTGTGCTGGGCAGTGGGGCTGGGAACAGAAAACTCTTCGCAGACTATACTTAACCCATACTCATTAACTCACCATCTACTCCAGGGACAGCTCAACGAAGACAAGTTGAAAGGAAAACTGAACTCTTTAGAAAACCAGCTATATACCTGTACGCAGGTAAGCATTTTGAGACATCCGGGAATCACTGTCAACAAGTCCATTCCAACTCATAATAATCACCCTCCATCACGTTTCCAAGGCTGAAAATCATAATGAGAAAAGACAGCCCGTCTTTCTCCGTCATGGTGGCTGGTGGGTTTAAGCCTTCCAGAGCCACTCAGCATTTTTTACCATCAGCCCAACCCATTATGGACCACACCAAAAGATATTATATTAACTGTAATAAGTTACTGGGGATGTCTCAAAGCCCAGAGTTTTCAAAGATAAAAAAAGATGTTCCCTGCTCCAAAAGTCTGTGAATGCAGTAAAGAGTCCTAGTATCGCAGTGGTTAAGTGGTGGAAGGCCCACAGCAGCAACTCCCAAGGGAGTAAAGACCTTGCAATCTGCTCTTGTAAAGATTACAGCTTAATATAACACAGTAGGGGCCATCCTACTCTGTCATATGGGTCACACTATAAGTCTGAATCAACTTGACAACACCTAACAGTAACAACAACACAGATAGACTATTTCCCAAGCATAAATGGCACCATTTACATTCAACTATAACCTAAACTTCAGCAGTTTGAGCTCACCCAGCAGCACTCCTAGGAAAAGGACCAGTAATCTGCTTCTATTAGTATTACTATCTCCAAACCCTATGTCATCTCTTAATACCTTGGCTTTCGGGGCGGGGGGGCGAAGAAAGAAAGAAAAATACCTTGGCTTTCCATGAGTTGGGATTGATTGCAAAGTAACTAACTACAGGGGAGACCGAAGAGTTAACAAAGTTAATAGGAAAAGAATATTACTTGAGCTTTGCACAGTAACAATAGTGTAGCCAGTAAGCTTTATCCAAGGTGTGATTATTGCTAATTAAAAACTCTTCCCAAGACTACTCTGTGAACACTGAGGAAGGCTACCCAATCCATAAGGAGTTGGGGAATAGAGTTTCTTAGTCAAGATTTATCAGATATTTGGGTTAAATCTCAAACATGAGTCAGAGTTAACCAGGTGATAAAAGGCTAGGTAAGGAAGCTGTGGTCTAACGGCCTAGTGGGTAAGAAGTAGTGCTGCCAATCCAAAGGTGGATGATTCAAATTTACCAGCTGCTCCAAAGGAGAAGGATAGGAAATCTCCTCTCTGCCACTTATGGACTCTGAAATACCACTGAAGGGTCAGCTGAGTCTGACTCAGCAGAAAAGAGGTAGTGTTCTAGAGGGTGTTTTTGGTTATTTTTTGTAAAGGATGTTTTAGGGAAATGCAGCTATATGTGAAAAGACAGGGGCCAAAAGCATGGTGTTTATGTATCCATCAGTTCACTCTGGCTACAGGTTGTACAGAATGAAAACCTGGGTGTATGTATAAAGAGTCATGGATAGGCCGCGGGGCTTCGTGGGAAGGGAGCTGCGACAGGGTCACCTTTCGGTGGACTTGGGAGAAGGTTCTGTCACGATGTGGTACGAGATTCTCCCTGGACTCGCCGCCATGGCGCTGTGTTTGTTCATTCCGGGAGTAGCCACCGCGAACATCCAAAAGTTCGCCAACGGTGGCAAGGAGAAAAGGGTTGCTCATTTTCCATACCAGTGGTGTTTGATGGAAAGAGATAGGAGGATCTCTGGGGTGAATCGCTACTATGTATCAAAGGGTTTGGAGAACATTGACTAAAGAAGCATTCTTCCTGTTAGTGAAAAAACAACACAGTCACCTAGCACTACTATAGAAGTCTGTGTTATGTAATGCTTCTAAAAATAAAACTACCAAGAAAAGGAAAAAAAAAAAAAGAGTCATGGATAATGAGTTTGGAATTCATCTTGAGAACACAGAGAACCCATTGAGAGATTGCAGCAGGAGTGACATGCTCAGATTTACATTTCAGAATATTCTAGCTCTAGAATGGGTAAGAGAGGGAAGGACAGACATTATTTCCAAACAATCAGCATTTTATATGGAAGATGCCTGAACTAAAGAGGCAGCAGCAGGGATCTAGAGATGGCACAGCTGTTAACAGGAACTTACTTCACAAGTCTCAGAGACCAACTGGTTATTGGGAGAAAAGGAAATTAAGGGTGATTCTCTGGTTTAAGCCTGAACTGTGCGGGTAATGAGGCCAGTGGCTGGGATAGGAAGGCCAGGTAAGTGAGAAGGTATAGAAAAATGAATTCCATGTGGAATGTCAGATTTCAAGTGCCTGTGGAAGACCTAGCAGACAAGGTCCAATATGCCTAGGACATTGTTTTCCTCCTTGACTTCCTTCACACAGAGGCTTACCAAGCTCTAGTTTGAACCCAAAGCCCCACCTGATCACTGCACCTCTGCCACAGGGCCGGGGACCATTTTTTCATTTCTGTACCCGAGCTCTGACATACAATATGTACACTTGCTGAATTGCTGACAATGGACACTTGCTGAATTGTCTAAAATTGACAGAAATATTCCCCTCGGGGGATGAAAAAGTTGCTACTGGAGATGGAACGCCAGAAAACCCACTATGAGCAGAAAGCCAAGGAGTCACTGCAGAAAGTGCTGGAGGAGAAAATTGCTGCAGAGCAGCAACTGCAAAGCACACAGGTATGGATGTGGCCGAGTTCTTGGGACTGGGAACCCTGGGAATATCCCTGCAGTACAGTGGAGCCAAACGTACAACTCTCTGGCATCCCTAAGGCATACCATCCCCTGTCTGATCTCCCTCCAGCGATCCCTAGCTCTGGCAGAGCAGAAGTGTGAGGAGTGGAGGACCCAATACAATACACTGAAAGAGGACTGGAGGACGCTGGGGACCCAGCACAGAGAACTCGAGAGCCAATTCCACGAGCTCCGGTTCAAGCTGCAGGTACCTAGCAGGGGGAGTAGGCCTGGGAGCCAGGCTCTGGGTGGTGATGAGATAAATTGCACCTGGGCTGGGCATCTGTCCTGGAGGCAGCTGAGAATACCTAGCTCTCAGTTCCTTACTCACTGCCCATTTGTACCAAACTCACTACTTTGACTCTGGGAACGAATTGTGACTTTAGCAACGATGTCTGCACAGCATATGTAAATGAACTCAGTGTCAGGTAGAATGATGCCACTCAAGTTGGGCTGGAATATTCATCAGCTTATTACTAATGTGACATCCAACTCACTCTGCCCACATCATCCCAATAAAGCATTCGATTCAGGCTTGCCCACTACTGGTGCTGAACAAATGTCACAGACTTATTTATAGACAAGTATTAACACATCTTGGCTAATGTGATTTTCCAAGTTATTATAGCAGATCATTGACATTCTCAGAGTTTTTGACATACCCAACCTGGCATTCCAATCTGCACGAACCTCCTAGGCCTCTCTATATCTCTACAGTGAGAACTACAGTAGCTATCGTAAGATTGCTGTGAAGATTATATTAGGTGGTCTGTGTGAAGCATTTAGCACAGAGCTTTGCACATATAAGCACTCAATAAATTAAGAGCAATTAGCTTTCACAGATTTTGCTTACATTTTTCAGAATTTCTATCTACTTTAAAAGTTTTCCTTTGTTTACTGGCGCAAGGGCCTGGACAGATAGTTTGAGAAGAGGCAGATGAGACATAGCTGGCCACTCTGCATCCACATCTCGGTGTGATTTTGTTAGTTGTCTCTTCTTCCTTCATCTTCCTCCCATCATCTACATGGCTGCTCCTTTTTAAAAAACAATAACTCTTTGACAAAAGTGGCCCTCGTCCCATCAAAAAAATAAGTAAATAATAAAACAATAGTGCCAGAACAGAAATAAAGAAAAAGTAAAGACATGTACAGAAGTGATAATGACTGTTCCTTAATCTAGAGAATTTACCCAAGTATCAGCATATGTGTCCCTTATGAGTATCAGAAGACTGGGGTCAGCAAAACGAAAGGAAACCCTTCATGAGAGGGGTTGACACAGTGATTGCAACAGTGGGCACAACGGACATGATACGCATAGCTGAGGATCAGGCAGTGTTTTACTCTCTTGGTTGTTGACTGGGGTCAACCTGATGACACTTGTCTTTGTTATCCAGTGCTGCTGTAACAGAGATACTACAAACTGATGTCTTTAACAAGCAGAAATTTATTCTCTTATAGCTTAAGAGCCTAGAAGTCCAAATTCAAGGTGCTTGTTCTAGGAGAAAGACTCCTCTCATTTCTGGAGGAAAGCTCTTATTTCCATCAGCATCTGTAAGCCAGGTGTTCCTTGGAGATTTTCACAAGTCCTGGCATTTTACAGTGTCAAGGAGCTGCCTCATACAGAGACCTGAGTTTAAAGGCTGACATTCTACTAGTGATTCTTCCTTGGAGTTTCTGAGATCTTTCCCTGTCAGCTCGATTCCTGCTCTAGTGAGAAAAATGTATTTTAAGGTTTACCTACAGGGTGTGCACAATGCAGGAAATGCTTCTTACAGCGGATTAGGGCTCTGGTGGATTCCACCCTTAATTAAGCCTTTCACAACTGTTTGGTTTATCAGATCATAGAAGATCATTACAGACTTCTGAGACACAATTCAATCCGTGATAGCACCTAATAACAAGGCAATGAAGGAGAAAACACACACAGCCCCCAAACAACAAAACTAACCCAAAAGCTTCTCATTTTACATTTCTCTAATAGAGGTTTCCACCTCTAAAACTCTATGGTTTTTATCCAACTTCCACAGAACCTCCTCCCAAACTCCAGCCCCACGTCTAATCTGCTTTTATGTCTTCCCCACACCCCTACAGGGAGCAGACAGCAAAGACATGCAGATGAACCAGGCCTTGCGACTTTTGGAGAATGAACACCAAGAGCTGCAGGCCAAGATTGAGCATCTGCAGGGTGACAGAGACCTGAGCAGCTCAGATCTCCAGGATCTACATGGTAACCTTCTCTCTGGAGATTTCAGGAGCTTGGAGGAAAGAATGTGGGTGGAAAGCAATGCATTTCATTGGTTTGCTTGGTTGGCTCTGTGATTTCATTTTACCTTTCAACCTTATCCTGGATTGAAAATTAATTTCACTGCACTGGACAATCCAGAACAGTCGGCTCAATTTTCCAGCTCACTCCTTTGGGAGAGACCATAGCTGCTCCCACATCAGTCAGAGCCACATTCCTCACTGAACGGGAAAGGTCAGTTGAAAAACAAAGCTTAAGGAAGTGATGGTCTCCCAGTCACCATCTCTTCATCAGCTAAAAGAGTGTGTAAATGCAACCCTTAATTCCACCCAAAACTTTTGATACACATGAAATCTAAGATATCCGGGTTTCTTTCTTCAGAACTGAGAAAAGTAGATTATAGAGCATCTTTCATTTGATTCATGTCAAAGGGCACAGCGCGACAACAAAATTATTACTAATTTCCATCCTAACTTCCATTCCATTCTATGTGAGGGTGAGGTAACTAAAGCTTCAATTCTTCATTGTGCTTTGCATTATTTCATTTTCAGAACAACTAAAGAGGTCAGAGGAAGAGAAACTCACCCTGGTGGCCAGAGTACAGGAGCTACAAAGTGAGTTCCCTTTCTAGAATCCATCAATAAATAACATAGGTGGCTTTTTGGTGTCCTTGGAGTTCCTGGCCTACAGAAAGGACGCAAGAGGATCCAGTCTTTGGAATATCTGGCGATTTTCAGTCCGTCTGTAAAATAAGATAATTTCCATAGCTCTTTACAAGTTATGTCTTAGCCTCTGTTCTTTTGGGTTTTTTTCTCTTTTCTACTTCACCCCTCCACAAGCATTTGTATTTCCAACAAATTCACAAGTGTGCTTTCTAAAAAAAAAGACCACAAGTATTACAGTGTTAGTTTCCAGGGCAGTTCTTATTTCAAGTACTCCTATTTTGTTACTGATACATAGATGTCACAGGAGGCATTGGTAGTTCACTGGTAGAATTCTTGCCTTCCATGCAGACGTCTTGGGTTCACTTCCTTGCATGCTGCTATGATGCTGAACCGGGTTCAGCAGAGCTTTCAGAACAAGAAGGGCTTGAGGAAGAAAAGCCTGCAGATTTACTTCCAAATAGCATCCCGATGTAAACCCAGTGGATCACAGGGGTCTGCTCATGACGTTCATGCAGGTGCATCATTTCTTTGCACTTCCCTGCGTGGAAGCTGACCCAATGGCAGCTAATAATTACCACATATCCTGTGAATAATTAGAGAAGCTTGACTCTGCGAAGAAGAATGTGGCACCAGGATTGGAGGAAGACTCATCAACAGCCTGTTTTATGCAGATACTATGACCTTGCTTACCGAAAGTGAGGTCTTGAAGCTCTTACTGAGGAAGGTCAAAGACCATAGATAAAAAATCTCCTTATGACTGGACCAGTAAACAACATCCTGATAAATGGAAAAAATATTGATGTTTTCAAAGATTTAATTTTATTGGATCCACAATAAGCACAATAAGCAGTCAAGAAATTAAATGGCATACTGCAATGGACAAACTTGTTACCAGTAACTTCCTAAGGTAAGACAGACCCATGTCATCATATTTTTCCATTGCTTCATATACATGTGTTAGGGAGCTCTGGTGGCCTAGTGGTAAGAAACAGCACTGCAGTCCCAAAGGCATGTGGTTCCAATCGAGCTGTTTCACAAGAGATGGATGGGCAATCTCCTCCTGTGCGATTAAACAGCCTCTGAAAACCCACTGGAAGGGCAGCTATAGGTCAGTTCTGACTAGCTGGTACACAACAACAACATATACATAGACTTCCATCTCTAGGAATGGTCTAAAATTAACTCATAATATGCATGCCTCGGTTCACTTCAAAGCATCCTGTCTCGGACAAAGAAGACCTTTTCAGAAGAAAGCGCTACCTTAACCTCCGACATTTCCATAGAGAAGCTTCCTGGGAACAATAATAAATTTTAAGTGAGCAAGTCAACCTAACCTAAATGCCAGAGTCTATAGATTTCAGCACCAAGGATGGTCATGAACAAAACTATCACAGTCCATTCCCTTATGAAGCTTACAGTCTAAACTCTATGGTAGAGTGTAGAATTTAAATGAACAAATAAAATACATGTCAGGTTTTAATATCTTCCATGGAGAAGACTAAAGGAGGTTAAGTAAAGAATAGTTCCTATTAACCCTACAGAGTCACCAGGAGAAATCTCTATTCCAAGATAACATTTAAAACCACATTTGGTGGTAAAGACACATAAAAAGAGATTAAAGAATAGGAATATATGCTTAATAATAAAGGTTCTAAGAAAATTAGTGAAGACACTCTGCAGTAAATATACTAGCACAAACAAGTTGTTATGTTTTCCAACAGGTCTGCTTCAGAATCAGTCCTTACAGCTTCAAGAATGGGAGAAATCCTTAACAAAGAAAGGTCAGCAAATTTACTAACACACGTTGTAAAACGTTGCTCTTTCCTTGTCTGTTTCAAAGGAAGTAGAGTGGACAGCATGATTTCTTGGGTTGACCAGTGTTGGGAGTTTAGTGCATCAGGAATTCAGGGGAGATTATAAGGATTAATAATTTACAGATTAGACACAATTTGTTAGCCTTCTATCTTGAGAAGTATATAAACTGTAAATATATATATATATATTTCTATTTCTAAAAACATATATGTCTGTTAAAGATTTCAATAAATTTATTTTTAAATGCAGGATTTCATGTCAATTTTTATACACTTGATTTTTCCAAATTCCTTCCAACTCTGAAATCCTAGAATCCCCCTCACTCTAGACCCCGAGGAATCGATGGTGTGTGTAGAGGAGTTGGGGATGCAAATAATGCCTCACTTACTACACAAGGTCTTTTGTTTGGTATCTTTCCTCCTCATAATTACTGGGTATAGCAGGTAAGCAGAAGTGAACATGCCCACACCACATGGATAAGAAGATGAAGTCAAAGACAGTTCTGGTGGCCCAGTGGTAAGGAGCTGCACTGCCAACCCCACGGCATGCAGTTTGACTCCACCAGATGCTCCAGAGAAGAAAGATGGTTAATCTCCTTCTGTGCAATTTACTGCCTTTTAAAATCTGGAGGGTCAGTTTTGAGTCTGTACCATAGTATATAACAATAATAACATAGCTGAATAAAACTAAAACTCAAAACTCTCATTGCCGTGAGTTGGACCCAACTCATAGCTGACTCTCCAGCGGGTTTTCAGAGTCTGTAAATTTCACAGGAGACTGTTCATTTTCCTCTAGTGGAACAACTGGTGGATCCAAATTGCCAGAGAGGTGCCACCTTTGGGTTAGGGACCCAACTCTCTATGGACGATGCCACTAGGGCACCCCAAATAAGGACAAAGCCAAAACAAACCACAACTTCTGTCCCCTAGCCTACTCCAGTGTCTTTCTCACCACAGTAAGAATGCAAGGTGATTAAAAGACCATCTTCAGAGACAGGAAGATGAACCATAGGATAAAACTTGCCAGTCTCAAATGAAAAAAGTGGGTTTTAACAAAGCACACAGCAAATTTACCTAACTAAAATTATATGGCATATAAGCAAAGAGATGCAATTTAACATTTCTGAAAGGCATAACATTAAACAAGACTGAGGACATGAAGACAAGACGGCACATTTGCCATTAAGGGGTTGAAATTCCAGCTCTCTCTGCAGGCTGAGCTGGATGGATCCAATAGGAGTTCTATTCCATGCTGGTGAGCCAAGCTCTCCTTGGCTCCTTCCCCTTCCCACTTCCTAGGGGTTTTCACTCAGTGACTGGGCCATTCTACAAAGGTACAGGCCTGGGAGTCACTGAGAATCTGACTGCTTGTTTTAGGACAGGCTCTTCCTGTGTGGAGTCCACAGCCCTCTCAACACCAGGTGGAGCCTAAGGGCACAGGGGAGGAGAAGGATTGGGATCTGCAAGACCAGTTGCGAAAGAAGACTTTGCAGTTCCAGGCCAAGGAAAAAGAGGTGAGTTAGTCATCCCAGATAGTCAGAGGCCCTTCTTTAAGCGGCAGGGGAAAATCCATGATACTGACCAACTCCCTGGGAAACTGCTGGGGCAGGGGGGTCAGAGTTTGGGTATAAATCGTGATTGGGCCCATTTGTTTGCCTAGCTTTGTTTTGTGGTTGACCTGTCAACCATTCCCTTTCTTTCTTTATAACAATTCTTACTCAGGACAGGTTTAATCAAAATTAACAGTTGTCTTTCAGAAAATCAATATAAACTCAAATACATTCAATAAATATATTAACTCTTCAAATTTAGTCCACACTGAATGGGAATCTTAAAACTTCTGAGTGTTGTCATTCAACTCACAAAACTCTTCCCATCTTCACACCCACAAACATAGATTTCCATGAATACAGTTCCCAGAAAAAAAACTGGTGCTGTTATTACCTAATGTGCTATAAGAACTTCAATTTTGGTGTCCCCCATTATAAAACATTTACATATATATTCAGAAATGTTTAATTAATCACTCACAAAAACACATTTTTGACAAACCAAAACCTGAGAAAGGCTGTGATGGGAGGAGGGTGGTAAAAATTCCCAGTGAATGAAGGGGTAATTTATTCAGTGTTGTCTCCCCGGCCTGTGCACTGGCCAGGTGGAGCCCAAACAGAGCAGGTGATGACCACATTGGTGGTATTCTCCCTCAGTGCAGAGAACTGCATGCAGAGCTGGACCACCTCAGTGACGAGTACCTGTTCTGCCAGCAGAAGCTGCAGCACTGTCGAGAGGAGCTAAACCGGAGCCGGCAGCCGCCTCCTACAGTAAGAGGGCCCATCCTCCCATATAATCCAAGATGAAGATGGGGTGATCCCTCTCTCAGGCAAATCACGGAGATAAAATGTATTAGTCCATGCCAACATCCAACCAGTCTATCCTGTTCGGCTTCATTTATACTACCAATCACGGTACCAACCACAGTAGGGGGGGTGCAGGGAGAGAACACTGGCTATGCATCCAAGTCCAAATTTCATGGAATTCTTGAGCTCAGAGGAAAAGACTATTTATCTAACATGTGAAATGGTGTTACCACCTTTCATGAGCACAGTGGCAAGAACAAGGTGCTGAGGGCTATGAATATAATTTTGCTGAGCTATCTTCTGCCCTTGTTCACTCACAATAGCATTTTATTAACTGGCTCCGATTGAAGGTAGTTTTCTAAGTCAGAGATCCTGGTTTATGTGCCACTGGTAAAGTAGTTTTAGTGCAAGACAGGTAACAGAGTGAGAGAGACAGTGACAACATGGGAAGAAGGAAGATCTTCTTTGCCACAGTCCTCTCTAACCAATTCAGTCTCTCTTGTCTCTCCCTCCTTCTACACAGAAGCAATGTAGCCAATGGCTCCCAATGCTGATTGTGGTAACTGTTACAGCACTACTGGCAGTGTTCCTGGCCAACAAAAATAGCCTAATTATGTAAAATGGTTTGTGATAACCGCCTTGGGTGAGAAAGAGAAGCAAACAGTGGGAAATTCAGAAGGCTGAGTCTCCACTGTGGCTACAATTTCTGACTTGTTAATATTTTTTTAAATAAACTGTAAAATAAACTCCATCTCAACAACTGCTCTGAAAATGTTCAGTTTATAGCCGAATGGCACATATTACAAGTAAAATAACACATAAGCATTTTGATCTACTCTTCCTAGTGCAATTCAGGAAGGGCCCGGTTCTTCTATTAGCTGGGCAGACTCTACCAAAGGTAGATAGTTTTACAAGGTATACTTTATACAAGATAGATATACAACAGTATATTCTCTTCCTACCATCCCTTTCCTTTTCTCTCCTATTCAACAGACAGAGAGCTAATTCAAGAGGACACTCTAGGAAAGAAACTGCAAATATGTAGTAACAGTGCTATCACTATCACCAGTTCCCACACCCATGGAAGAGGTAGCCTGTGTAGTATAGCATTCTTACCTTTTAAACCCAAATGTGGCCTTATAACCTTTACCTACTGTTCTCAAGAACAGCCACTACCAATGAGCTGGAGTTAGCATTTGAGATGATGGCTAACTGAATGATCATCATTCACTGAATGTTTTCTCCATGGGAGGAGCATTATAGTCAGAGAGCCACAGCAGGCAGTGTGACTACCTCAGAGGAAATACTGAGGTCAGTAAAGTCACTCTGAATCCTACATTGAGTTCTGAGGGCCTCCTCCCAGGTGTTTACACTGTCCCTCAGGGCAGGGAACAAACTCTCTGGGACACTAAAAGAATAGAGCTGGACTGGAGGTTGACCCAGAAGCCACGAGACCTGAACAGTGAACACTCGTAGTGGAGTCAGGGCTAAGCAATTGTCACCTCCCTGGTTCAGATGAAAGGTATAAGGGACAGGATAGCCCAGGAGGATTCCAAACACAGTACAGAAATTCCAGCCTGTGTAATGAAGCCTGCTGCGGGAGACTGTCAGGGACAGGTTCTTCTGTAGCCCCTGCAAATGCATGAGAATCTCAGCCACAAGGCCCTTCAAGTCCTGAAGCTGGTCCAAGGAGCAAATAGAAGGGTGAGGCAAGGAGCTGGAGACATCCACAAAGGCAATGGCACCAAGCAGCACTTGCTGCAAGTGCCGACAAGCATGTTCAGGACTGACAATCAAGCTGTTTTCCCCAAGTTCAAGGATGTGAAGTTCCAGGGTCAAAAAGCCCAGCCTCTGCAGCTCCTCCAGATAGTTCTGAATCTGGGAAGCCCCTGCACCATTACAATCATAGAGAAGAGCGGGTTTCAGTCCACAAGCCACAGCCAACACCTCTCCTGCCAGGTTAAGGCAGATGGCTCGGGGTGGGCTCCGTCTCTTTCCCACGCCCAAGGTCTGCTGTGCAGCTGCCACCAGCAGCTGAGGGCTTGGTGGTGACATGGGGTCAAGAACAGCCTCCTTCGCTTTCCAAGGTTTCCTCCTCTGGGCTGCCTCTCAGCTCCACACACCTAGGAGCCTAGAAAGAAATCATTAGTAGAGATTATTAGCACAAGCCAACGACACTCTAGACAGCCGGACAACAGTCTTCTCATAACTCTTATAGCATCTTCCAAAGGTCATTTTGTCTCTCCTTCAGCTTTGGAATGCTAACACAACCTAAGTAATAAAGTATCACCACTAAGGCTCGATTTTTATTACTTTGTCTCCTTTGGCCCCAAATTCTCTCTCTCTAGCATTACAGCTTTATTTATGTTTGGGAGCTGGAGGGGTAAAGGGAGAGTAGTACAGAATAGGTAGCACTGTATAAGGCAAAATTCAAAGCATATGATTCAGAACTCTTCAAGACGGGGTTCTCAGTTCCAAACACACCCTTTCCAGTGCCAACTTCCCCTTCTCTTTCCTCTAAGAATAAGTAAGTGTAAGAAGAGGAATCTGATTTAACTCACACTAGAATGTGGACTAACAAGCATCTCACTTTAAAAATATAATTGTTGTTATGCACCATCGGGTCGACTACGACTCATAGCGATCCTATGCACAATAGCTCTGAACACTGCTCTCTCCTGAGCCAATCTGTCTCTGACACGCCTGCCCCCATTACCCCAGTTACTGTCAATCTATCTCATCCGGGTTCTTCTCTCCTACACTGTCCCTCAACCCTTCCAAGCATAATATCCTTCTCCAAAGACTGGTCCCTCTTGGCTGCATGCCCAAAGTCTATGAGAAGATTCTCAAAATCCTTGTCTCCAAGGAGCAGCTGGGTTTGACCCTCTCCAGGGTATGTTAAAACTGCAGGCCTTTAAAGATTTTTTTTAAAAAAAAGGTATTCCTGGACACACTACTCGCTGGTTCATACTCCCCAGGTATTGCAACTCTCTTAGATCTTGAGCCCACAAATTTTCATTCACTGATTTGGTTTCATCCGGCATAAATCAGGCTGTGTCACGAAATTATGATAAACACTTTCCCTTTATGGGCCTTAGTTCTCTCACTCATGAGACCTCGATCTCTGGTGTTGTTTACTGTTGAGTCGTAATGGACCTTCCAGAGAGTTTTCAGAGGTCAAAAATCACACGGGAAGGGACTGCCCAGTCTTTTTCCCTAGCAGAGCAGCTAGTGAATTTGAACCCTGTAGCTTTAGATTGGAACTCTGGCGGCCAAGTGGTAAGGAGCTGCTCTGCCAACTCAAATGCAAGCGGTTCAAACACACCAGCTGCTCTGCGCTCCTCTCACGTTAATTTCTGTTGTGTTTTTTGGAAACCGATCCATAGTTGACCTTCTACGGGTTTTTCAGAGGCAGTAAATCGCAAGGCCCCTGCGCATCTGGTGGATTTGACCCACCCGCCTTTGGCTTGCAGCGCAGTTTCTCACCACTAGGCGGGAGGGTCAGCTCTGAGACTCAACAGCCCATAAAAATAACAAACCTTTGGATTCTCAGTGTAACTTCTTACACTGAGCCACCTGAGCTTCAGAAGGGTTTCCAAAACCAAACCCACTGCCGTGAATAGATTTCTACTCATGGAGATTGCAAGGCTACCGGTAAATCTTTTCAGGAAAAGACTGCCCATGTTTCTTTTGCAGAGCATACAGTGGGTTAAGAAATGCTGACTTTTTGCTTAACAGAGCCCGGGTCTCTTTTATAAGTACTTAGGTTTAGGGTTTAACTCCTACTAGTTCCTTCTTCGTCCTCTGGCCGACACCTGAAAACACAAGGTGGAAGGGTCCATTCAAATACCCACACGCTTCACTAGCACAGCGCTATAACAGTGTGCTAAAGTGAGCAGAGGTCTCTCACGTACCATCTCCTTCCTCCACTAGGCCCCGCTGCAGCGGCGGAATGCAAAGACGAGGTTGCACTAGACGCCAACAAATACGACTTCATGCGCATGCCCGGCCTCCCCGCGTCCCGCCCCTCTCCATGACGTCACCCAACCTGCTCTCGCGCCTCGCGGTAGCTGCGCCTGGCCGCCGGGGACCGCGTCCTGAACTTTCGAGTCTCAGCTGTCGGCTTTTTTGCTCCCAGACGTGCCCAGCCCTGTCTGCAGGGAGAAGTGGACGAGAGGAGGCGGAGCGTGCCAGAACTGGGTGCTGGCTGCTCCTGTTTTTACACCGTACCATAAATCCACTGCTATACAGTGGATTCTGACTCATGTTGTTGTGGTTATGTGCCCTCGAGTCGCTTGCGACTCATAGCAACTATGTACAACAGCCCTAAACTCCGCTCTGTCCTCTGCCAATCGCACCGTCTCTGACACTCCCATCCCAATTATCCCAGTCACTGAATCAATCCACCTCATAGAGGGCCTTCCTCTCCTGTGCCGTCCCTCCACCCTCCCAAGCATGATGTCCTTCTCCAAGGACCGGTCTCTCCTTACAACATGTCCAAAGTATGTTAGACGGAGCCTCAGAATCCTTGCCTCCAAGGAGCCACCCGGTTTAACCCTTTCCAGGACAAATCTGTTTGTTTTCCTAGCAGTCCATGGTACTCTCAATACTCTTCTCCAGCACCACAGCTCAAAGGCATCAATTCTCCTTCTATCCTCCTTGGTCATTGTCCAACTCTCTGATGCATAACAGGTGATTGCGAAGACCATGGCCTGTATCAGACGCACCTTAGTCTCCAGAGAGACACCACTGCTCTTCAGCACTTTGGAGAGGTCCCTAACAGCAGACTTTCCCATGGCAATGCGCCTTTTAATTTCCTGGCTGCTGGTGCCAAGACTGTTGACTACAGAGCCAAGCAAACTAAAGCTGTGTGTACAATCTCAATCTCTTCACCATCCATCCTGATGCTGCCAATTGGTCCAGTGGTGAGAATCTTTGTCTTCTTGACATTAAGCCTCAATCCATATTGTAGGCTGCAGTCCTTAACACTCTGTAGCAGGCTCTTCAGGTCCTCTTCAGTTTCAGCAAGCAGGGTTGTGTCATCCGCATAACGCAGGTTGTTGATAAATCGTCCACCAATCTTGACCCCACATTTCTCCTCATAGAGCCGAGCCTCCCGGATAATCTGTTCTGCATATAGGTTGAAAAGGTATGGAGATAGGATGTATCCCTGGCGTACGCCCTTCCCAATTTTGAACCATGCAGTGTTCCCTTGCTCTGTTCTGACGACTGCCTCCTGGTCCAAGTATAAGTTTCACATTAGAACAATCAAGTGTTCTGGGATTCCCATTCTTCTCAGAGTCAGCCATAGTTTGACTCATAGCTACCCCGTTTCCTAAACTGTAAAACTTTATGGCGGCAGATGACATCTCTCTGCCCTGGAGCGTCAGATGTGTAACCTTGGAACTATTGACTAGCAGCAAAGAGATGTAGGCACTGAGCCACCCTAATTTCTTACCCTGTGCCCCACCTGAGTAATAATGGTGGTCCACGTGACGGGGAAACCAGTGCTGAATATCCCTTTGATTTCTGTCTGGGGAAACACTTTGCCTTCCAAATGAGACACCCTAACACAATGGTCTTGGTTTGCAGTATATATTGCCCAGAAAGTTCTCACTTGTAGTTCTGCGTATGAATCCCCAACTGTGGGACTGCTTCAAAGTCTTGTTATTTTGTTTTTTATAAATTTAGGACCTGACTAAAGCCTGCATTTAAGTTGTTATGAGAAGAAATGCAGACAAGTGTCTGTCATTCTAGTCCTGGTTGTAATGTGAGGGGTGTGAGCATTCTTTCTGAACAAGAATGTAGTTAGGAGCAAAAGGTGCTGTTGCACATAGAACAGGACAAACTGCACCCTCGGGAGGCTTACATTCCAAGAACTCTTGTTTCCTGCTTCAGGGCTGTAAAAACTTTCTTTCAAGACTTGAAAAAGGTCTCTTCTTTTTTTTTTTTTTTTAAAAAAAGGTCTCTTCTTAAACTTAAGGTCTCTTCTTAAATGTAAGTGTTAAAAAAAAAAAAAATGTAAGTGTTAACCTGTCCTTAACTACCAGTGTTCTGACTTTAGGAGGGGAAAGTTGTTCCCCACCCCACTCCCCAAAGCTTTCTGATTAAATGGCCCGAAGGTAGTTCTCCCTTAGGAATTCTGAGGTTTCACCCCTGTAAAATGTCCATTTGCATATGTATCTGTAACTTCACCTTTCTGTTATCATTAACCGGTTAAAAGAGGTGACTATCAAGATGGAGCCTGTATGGAAGAAGGACCAGTTTGGAGGGGCTCTCAGATTTTGGTCCCTAACTCACAGGTAGCTAAGATTAGAAATTTGTCCTCTAATTTTGGCGCCTTACACCCCCCTCCCCTTATATCCTCACAGCAAAGAAAAAAAAACAGAATCCCTCACATCAAAGTTTTACTTTATCCATTTATTCCACCAACAAATATTTGAAAACATAATGTGTACCAGACGCAAGATGCTGGCAACATAGTCCAGGAGAAACAATTGCTCTCTTCAGCAAGTCTGTAGTCAAGCAAGTGATAAAGACTGAACACTCACAAGGGAAATGAGAAGACGAAAACATACCGCAGGACATGTCATCTAGGTTAGTTGAGTGGGGAGGAAGAGAGCTGGAACACCATCTTACTCCCCAGTCTTAAAAGGGCAACAAGAAAATAGTCTCCAGGAAAAAAAGAAAATCTGGTATCTAGCCACTGTTGTTATTTCCTGTTGGAACAAACACATAGCAGACCATCCAGTGGGTTTTCAGAGGCAGCAAATCAAACAAGAGGAGATTGTCCAGCTTTCTCCTGCAGAGCAGCTAGTGGATGCAAGCCATGTGCCTTATGGGTTGGCAGCACAGCTTCTTATCACTAGCCCACCAGAGCCCCCATCTAGTCATTAGGAATTGAAAAAGATGGGGAGAATGGCGAGCCCTGCATGTACTTGGTGAACATTCCATGAAGGATTCTAAACATGAAAACTAGGTTATCTAGTTAAGGCCACATAAAACCATTCATGCAACTCTCTGACCCTTTTGCAAACTTTCCACTAACTGTCACATATTCTAAGTTTGGGCCTTCTTGGCACTTCAGAGCACTCTATTTTCAACATCTCTTATCAGCTCATACTGTGTGGACTCCCATCCACATGGACATCCTTGCTGTCTGAGGGAAAGAAAGACACCAGACCAGATCAAATATCACCTTCCCAATTTACCTTCTGTGGGTTTTCTCTTTGAGCTACCTAAGTGCAGACAGAAGTAGTCTTAACTGCAAGACCATGTCTTTCATTTGATATAATCAACCAAATGAAAATAGTTTCCTATGCCCCATATGCTTTCTGCTCTCAAGAATCCCTTCTCTTTAGAAGTTCTCTTGTGAAGGGCTGGACACCCAACCTTTACCCAGATCTTTCAGGGTTATACTCAGAGTAGATCCCACTAGGTCACCCATTCACTCACTCATTGCCATCTACTCACAACCAAATTATAGCTGATCCTCCAGTCAGGTTTTGGAGGTCCTAAATCACATGGGAGGAGATTGCCCATCTGTCTCCCAGCCACTGCAGAGGTGCCACCTACGTTAGCAACGAAATTCCCTATGGACTAGGCCACCATGACTCCCCTCCGAGGACTATTGTCATTAGGTGCTAATGAGTCGAGTTTACCTCACAGCGATCCTATAAACAGCTGATCTGAACCATGTCTTGTCCTATGCCATCTTTGTCATCTCTGAAACAGTTAAGCCCATTGCTGTAGTCTCTGTGTCAGTCTATCTCACTGAGGAACTACCTCTCTTCCACTGACCTTCTACCTTACCAAACATAATGTCTCTAGCAACATGCCATGTGTGAGATGAAGATTTGTCATCCTTGTCTCCAAGGAACATTCTAGCTGCACTTTCTCCAAGACAGATCTGTTCTTTTGGCAGTCCATACTTATTCAGCATTCTCCAACACCACAGTTCAATGGCATCAATTCTTCTGTCACCTTTACTCACAGTCCAGCTTTCAGATGCATAGCAAGTGATGGACAGGACTGTGGCTTGAAATCAGGCACACCTTTGTCTTCAAACTAACATGCTTCTCAATAATTTGGAGGGATCACTGACATCAGGCTTGCCCAATGCAATGTGTCTCCCGACTGCTGGTACCAAGCATTTTGATTGTGGATCTAAGTAAGATGAAATTGTTGACAACTTCAGTCTTTTCTCCATCTATCATGATTGTTTCTTAGTGGTCCAGTGGTGAGAATGTTTGTCTTCTTGATGTTGCAATGCAATCCAGGTTGAAGGACTAGGTCCTTAGAACCTCTAAAACCAAAGGTTTAGCATTCTGAATAAGTAAGTCCCATTGCTACCTTTGATTAGATTGTGCTTTTAGTGTGGAAAAGCTAATCTATTCTTCAGCCACACAGCAACTTGGGTGAATGGCAGCAAACCAGACTTGGGTTTCCTTCCTACAGCTGGGAAATATAAGCATTCAAGAAAGGAGCCATCGACCAGATATTAACATTGTGGTTTTCATTTCAGTCTTAGCATTCACATTATGTATAATTTCTTCTTAAAAAAAAAGAAAAAGAAGGTGAAGCAAAATGGTCAGGGACTGAGAAAAAGGTACTAGATGAGGCCAGTTTGTGGCAGATATAGCTGCAATGTTCTACATCAATCTTCACCTTAATTATTTACACCCAGCTGCCTCTACTAGGAAGGAAGGCAAACAGGTTTGTGCTAGTTGAGCCTTTTCCAGAAGAGCAGTGCCTAGCCCTTCTTCAGCGTGGGCTTAACACACTCATCTCTTACAACAAGGGGTGGGGGAATCCAAATAATAAGACTCTATAAAAGTCTCTAAATGAGGAGAACTGTCCCTTCTATAGTCAAAGGAGCTTATTCCAAATGTCTAGCTCACTCTCAGACTTCCTCAAGGAAGAAAATAAGGACAATCTAACTCCTTTCCCTGTCAAAGCTCTCAAGTCACATACTCATTACCACACACAGTGGTATTTGAGAGGTGGCAAGCTACACGCCTGACAGCTCATTCTTCTAGGGAATCCCTAGGCTTTCAATGTTGACAGTTTCTCTTTAGAGGCTCGATTTATGAGCTTTTCCTTCACAAGCAGAGTGACTTTCAGACTTTGGCACCTATTTCTATTTAGCAGTCAAGCTTGGTTTCTAAGCAACCAGCTAGCTCCTCTCCCTCACACTCCCCATAGCGAGCCAGCCTACTATACTAGCAGAACAGGTCAAACAGAGCTGGATCATGGACAAATCAGTGCTCGAGGGAATTTTAATGCAAGTAGAAAAAAAATAAAAATAACTTTGTACAAGAACAATGCAGAAAGGTTCTGTTCCAGGCAGTTTTGCCTTGTAAAAGTAGAATAAAGTCATAGAATTGGGATTGTTAAAAGCTGGATGCAGTTTCGGGCATCATTCCAACCCTTGTGCTTCACAAGTGATGAATCTGAAGCCCAGAGGTGAAGTGACACGTTCAAGGTCACACTACTGAAAGCAAAGCTGCAGCAAAAAATCCTGGTTGGTGTCCAATCCCTGGGTCAGAATGTCTTCTACTACATTATACTAGCAATGGGAGGTCTGGCAAAGAAAAAGAAAGCCTCAAGTGTGATTTTTCCATAAATTAAATCAATTTTAAAAGCTAGGCATGTCTGGAAAGTCATAAGGTACTAACAGGTTAGAGAGGAGATTTAAAGGCTGGTTAAATCCGAATAAAAAATATCCATATGTACAATATTTTTAAAAGAAGCAGAGAAAAAAGAAGACAGCATTCCTGATTACTGAGCTGGCAGGGCAGGGGGCAGCTGCATGTTGGGGGTGGGTTGCATGGGCTGCCAGCTTTCTTGGGTTTGCAGGATGCGATACAGCTGCTTCAGCTGAGCAACGATGTTATCTTTGATGTCCGGAGTGGAGATCTGCAGGCGGACACTACCACTGTCAAAGGATCTTGTGAAATCGCCAGAAAACATCTCGTAGATCATCCGAGCCACCACTGGAATGACCTGCCCAGGACACAGAGCACACAGGGATCCACTCAGAAATAGGGATTTTGAAGCAACAGACAAAGAGACCGAAAATTAAAGCAAGGGATGAGGAGAGACACTTTCTATTCTAACGTCTATAGGAAAAACCTTCCTTTCTCTGATCCTGCTGAAGTTCATGCCATAATTGGTTCAAACAAGAACCACATTACATGCTTAGAAAAGCTTAACTTTTACCCAAATTTAATCTTTTGCCTTTCTCATCGTATAACCCTAGAAACGAGCCCACTTGGCATTTCTGCCTCTTCCTAGCATAACACTGCATTCCCAGTAGCATTTAAAATGTTTTTATTACCAGGTACTGGTTAGAGGAAGAAATGGGGCATTCTTACTGAAGGGGTGCTGAGTTTGTGTTTTGTTGTTGTTGCTGCATGCTAGCAAGCCAATTCTGACTCAGGGTGACCCCGTGAGAGCTCCATATGGGTTGTTTGCTGTAATTTTTTTTTTTTAAATTCACACATTATTTATTTGGTTTAAAAATAAATAGCATACATTTCTTGAGATTAGGATTGGAAGTGCCTGATCCCATGGATTATAATAAAAAGAAAGTCTATTACAGCTATTACATAAAAAGATCAAGTCCATAAGCAAATAATCTCGTGTGTGTGTGTGTGTGTGTGTGTGTGTGTGTGTGTGTGTGTATTTTGTTGTTAAGAGCCGTCGACTCATAGCGACCCTATGAACAAAAGACCTGAACACTTGTGGAACTTTGGTCATTTTTCCAGGTTCATAGAGTCATAGGGTTTCCAGAAGCAAGCCACTTTGCAAGTGGATGCCACTACTGCTTCCAATACAATATGTGTGTGTGTGTGTGTGTGTGTGTGTGTGTGTGTAAATGTATTTATGTGAGTGGGAAAGAAAGATTGAAGGAAATTTCTCTGTTGGATGAGAATAATATTAATAACAAATACATAAATTTTGAGCAAATAACTAACAAGGAATTAGAGGTCATTTAAGCAATCTTGAATCAAAAAAATACAGTGTAATAGAGATCAACCAATCTCATAAGTAATCAATTATATGCTATGAGATTGGGAGTGTTGGTGGTTTTAGTCAGTTTATATAAGGCTTCTTTGGGAAAATGTCTTTTAATCTTTTATGGAAATAATGAAAATATACAAAGGTATAAAAAAATAAAAAATAATCAGAGGATTGTTGTTAACTGTTGGGTATACATAATATTTTAAGTTGAGGAAAAGAATGTTTGCTGTAATCTTTTTTTTTAATTTTTTATTATTTTTGT